GCGCGGTGGCAGGGTGCCACGGACCACCCCACACGGCCGCCCCGCCCGCAGCAGCCGCCCGCGGAGAGGCTGTGTGCTGGGCACTGTCCCGGGCTCTCCCAACCTTGGGGGCAGGCGCGTGGCCGCTCCAGGGCAGAGGAGCTGCCCAGAGTCACACGTGGCCCGGCCCGGCCCTGGCCAAGTCGCTGAGCAGCCCGCGGGCTCTTGCGGGCCCTGATGAGCAGGGCGCCGCCCCCAGACCCGGGGTGGGGGGCTGGGCCTCCGGGAGAGCTGCCCCAGGCTGGGGTGCTCATGCGGCCTTGGGGCCCCACCGCTCTCGAGTGCAGGCTCCCGGCGCTCCCCAGCCCCGCGGGCTCCCCAGAGCCAGGCTGCTGGTCAGAGTGTCTCTGCCTGGCGTCCGAGGGAAGGGCGGGCAGCGGGCCCCGGCTAGATCCGGGGGGCTGGGCCTGGGCTTGGCGTCGTGGGCGACCCGACCCAACCCCCGGGCTCCGGGCAGCCGCTGGCCGGGCGGGGGCAAATGGACAGCGAGTCTGAGCTGCAGCCCCCCTCTGTGGCCGCTCGGCCCGGCCACGGAGCCACTTCACTGATGGCTCCGAGCCGCGTGGCCAGGCTGGCCGTGGTGCCAGGCGCCAGCAGCCGCCCTGCCGGAGGCCAGCGGAGGAGGAGGAGGCCTGTCCCCCCGTCGGTCACGCCTGGCCCCGTGCAGGTGGGGCGGGCGCTGCCCGACAGGAGCGGCTGCAGGGGGCCCCACAGAGGGCGGCGGGGCGTGGGGTGCGGTGGCCCCTCGCCCCAACAGAGCCACGTGTGCCCGCAAGTCTCAGGACGTCCTGAGGCACCTGGACACGCCCCACCGCAGGCCGGTCGGCTACCCGGCCGTCTGTCCAGCTGTCTGGCCGGCTGTCTGTGCCGAGGTCTCCGGCCGAGGCCTGGGGCAGGTGCACCGGAGGGGCCCGGTGCCCAGACGCAGCTGCCGGCAGGTGCTGCCGGTGCCCGGTCCTGAGCGGGCAGTCGGGCTCCACCTTCAGGGGCTGCCCCGAGATGCCCCCTCTGGACTGGGCTCCACGTGGGCAGTGGGAATGGGGGCCGGGCGGGCAGCGGGGTTGGACAGCAGGTGGAGGGGGAGGCGAGGAAGTGCCCTCCAGGATGGGGATGAGGGCACTGGATGGACCCCGGTGGACGCTGGACACGGGACTCTGCCTAGGGTAGATGGGGCTGGGCTGGGCGGCGAGGTGACCTCAGGCAACGGCCGCGTGGCCGCCTTTGC